AGTCTTTCTCTCTAATGCACATATGACCCACACATATCTGTTCTTCCCTCTTTGACAGCTGGAATTACAGCAGGTTATGAAGCAAACATGCTACAGACTTCTGCTTGAAATAAACTTTCCAAAAGAGTAAAATCACTGTGTGACTGCTACAATGTCCTTGAGGTAAATATTATTTACTACATTACAGTCTAGATTGGAGTCTCAAGTTTGTATTCTTGTTTTGTTATGTGAAAATTTGGCATCTGACAATAAGAAACCCTGTTGTATGGAAGCTCTCTCAAAGAGATATCTTATGAGCTAGCACTTCACTGACACCATGATTCTTTACTTTACTTTAGAAGATCTTACTCTGCATGTTATTCAAATGCTCTAAATTCATAAACCAAGATCTCTACACAGTGGCAATGGTAAAATGAAAAAGATTGTGAGCAATGCAGCTGTTCTCCAAAGTTCTGTCTCCTTTTATTTACTTTTTAAAACCATCTGCATTTTCCTAATTTAGGGAGGGGGTAGAAAGGTCCATGAGATGCACTGGCAAAAATGTTTTGCCTATATTCATGGAAACAGGTAGGACATACCTATTCAAGAAAAGTATGATTTTTGTTAAATAGTTTGGGATAAAAATTACTGAAATCATTCCTTATGCCTCATCTGTCTTTAATAGAAGCACATATCAGCATCGGTCACTTTGATAAAGAGCTTTTCCTATGAGCTTAAACACAAGAATACTGCCAGTGATCTGAAAGCAACAATGTAGATTTAATCTCACTTTATTCCTTAAATGGTACTGCCTAAATATTTACTCTTCCTCTCATAATAAAATAATCTCCTTCTACCCTTCAAGCAACACTGTGGGCATGAATCACAGACATTTATTACTTGGAATGTATTAGACTTGCCTTTCTGCTTCAGTGTCTCCATCTTAGTTCCTTAGAGAACAAATGCCATGTCAGGTTTCATAATTATAACTTACAATGAAAACAATGCATCAGAGAGTGAAAAAAATATTGAAAAAATTTAGAACACCTATACTGCCTTTTTTTTTTTTTTTCAGTTGTACAGAGTTCCCTTACAACCAGTGGAAAAGATGCTTTTGGTAAAGCTGCAAGTAAGCAGAATAACTACATTTAATATTAAGTTTGTTACTTGGAAGTATATCTGCCAGTGATTTGGCCCTATAAGCTACTGCTACCGGTGACCAAATTCTTTCTGCTTTCTTTCACCAGTGTAAATAAAACAGATGAAAGTGTTAATCTTAAAAATGCAGTAAGTCAAAATATATTTGTGGGGAAGAGGGGCTGAGAAATACTGGGAAATATATGTATATGTATAATTAAATTTATATTTAAAGAGACTTATGACAGTATATGTCTATTCATAGCAACACACTTAAATAGATTTTATCATCTAGATTAAATGATCGTGAATACAGACTTTAAAATATGGAATTATGTACTTTGATACACCATAATTTCATTTTATTCATATCATATGCAATGCAAAAATGTGTATTCTTAACACATTTTTTCAAATCACATTTGCTTTGCATCTCTAAGTTTGAAAAATGAAACAGTTGGAAGCACAATTCGTATACCTATAAACCAAAGAGGGGTACAGTTTTAAATAATTATGTCAAGAAATGACAACTGTACTCTTTGTAGAAGCACAGATGAATAATTACAAAGCTGGGACACAATTAAGCAATTTTGACTGTCGTATTCTTGAGCTGTCTCTCTGATGTGAAATGCTGTCATGCCCAGAAACACACTTCACACTGGACAGGCATCTTCCACTTTGAGCTACACTTATGCCAGTGAAATGAGGTCATGGTCTGGTCATTAAACAAGGCTTCCTCATCTGGCTCAATGCCTCTTATCCAGCCAGACTTCTCCAGTCTTTATTAAAAGCAGGCATGATACAATGTTCAATATTTTGACAAAAGAAAACACAAACATAACAGAATACTGAAGTTTAGCTCACCTACATAGTGAGAAGGAATACTGCACTGTAACATTAAACTGTTTTCTAATAAATGATTGTATCTTTCCATAAGACAGTCATATCACAAACAGATGCATTTTCAACAAAGGATGAAATGAAGCAAAGCACAAGTGTAGTGTTCTGTTAAAAAAAAATAGGGAATAATGAAAGTAAAAAGAATTTATACAAAATAAAATATTTATGACTTAGTGATGACTAGTGATTGCTAGATACTCTCGAATTTGAGTAAACACAAGCTAGTCAGATGGAAATTTCTTGCTTTTATTCTCATTTTGTGTATTTTTTTCTTGGTGGGGTATTTTGCTCTCCCAAGTATTTCATGTCAAGACTAAAATGAAAACAACTCCCCACATCACAGCCTCTTTAGATCATCAGTCTGCCTTTTATGCTGAATAAGCCACACCATCTCCTTCTTATCATAATGGGGGAAAAAAGACACCACGTAAGTTAGGACTTTTTTTGTTGGTTTGTTGTTTTCAGTGGTTTGGTTTTGTTTCTTTCTCTGAAAAAACAGGTCTGAAAGGCCCACTGCTGTTACTAAATCTGGCAGAAGATTTTCATGTGGCATCCACAAACATCAATACTAATCACAGCATCTCCTTTCCTGGTAGCATTGGCTGACACAGTGCCTGCTACCTTAGGTGAGAGGGAAAGAAACCCATGTTATTCAGAACTTCATTATCATCAAGGTCATATATCACTATGCCAACTTACTAAGGAGTTTTTCTGATGACCAGTACTGGATATGCTGCAATCTTCCTCGGAGTTTGGATCAAGGTTTTAATCTCTAACTAGCTGCAGAAAGCTTAAAATATATTACCAGTACCTGCCTGTTAAATCTGGCTGAAGCTGGTCAAAAATATCGACAGCTGCGTGGGAGTGGAACTGATGAACAGAAAACACAAGATCCAGGAATGTGAAGGCGAGAGAATAAAAACCCATTATGTATGCAATGTATAACACATGACGGAATTCAAAAGTACAGTTATTGTGCACATCATCTTGGTGATTTCTGGAGGAATGCTGCTTGCTGTGGTGTTCAAGTGGAGCTGTCAACAGCTGTACTCATACCTAGCTGTAACTCACAGAGTATATGCAGAGAAAATTCTACGAGTCTTCTCAGACACAGAAGAGTTTGCATGCATGTAGTACTATAAACATGAATATCCTAGGAAATAAGAACAAATCTGAAACAATTTGGAGCGCTCTATCCTAGGAAATAAGAACAAATCTGAAACAATTTGGAGCGCTCTATAATACCTGCATCAAATTTAATATTTATTTTAAATTAGCCACTTCTGTGATATGTATATAATTTCATATGATGAGAGCAATTTCACAGCACCTTAGAAAGCATTAATTCATGCCATAAAAATAATATCATCGTTATTAATTATTAATTATTAATTATTATTAATAATATTATCATTATTATTATTATCATTAAAATCATTTTAAATGATTTTACCATCAGTAATTTGTACTGAACCAAGCAAAAACAATAGTAAATTGGAGTCTTCTGCAAATTTTCTGAAATAAATGTATGCTTTATCATATGACTTCGTGGGTAAATAATTCAAAACTATACAAAAGGTTCAGTTGTAGATCTAAAAGATAAAGATGTTATCCCTAAATTTGTTAAGTATTTTACCCTTAGCTATTGACTTAAAAAGAGGCTTAATCCTGAAAAGTAACTTCAAATTTGAGAGACACGTTTTTTTCCTGACACTATTAAGTTGCATGCAATTCACAGAGTAGACTCTTAAATAAGAGATCTCTTTATATATACCTACAGATATCTATAACTGGTAGATAAATTTAAAAAAAAACTTCACCAGATCCAAAATCTGATTAGATAAGAATTGTGAAAGATTACATAGATATGCTATACCTAAGACAATTCAGCTGTTGCATTTGGCCAGATTCAAAGATGCTTTGCTGTGAATAGGCTCTCCACCACAGCTTAAAAATAAATTATTCCATTCATTTCATATATGAAGCTGAAATAACTAAAGGCAGTGGTAAACAATATATCAAAACAATGTTTGTATCAGAACTGCTAACATTTTAGTAGTTATAAATTAATCAGTCTGAATTAATTTGTAATGCACTGCAACTGTACTCATGATAATGCATTTATCCAGCAACACTATTATGCTACCAAACAGTGCATTTCCATAACCACTACATTATTATTCAGCATTATTGGAAATCTGCAATAAATTATTGATGGTATACTTTAGAGAAAAAGCAGCAAACAGAAAGCAAGTAGACTGAAAACTTGAGCAGAGTTTTAAGAAAGATCTGCAGTACTAAAGCACTCTGAGCACACCACAGACTGCTGTTATCAAGTATTGATCAACAAGGGAAAAAGAAGGAAAAGGGGAGAATTCACATTCACATTCTGATTGCTTCAGCAGGATGCCCAGAGTTGATGGAAGCTGTATTAAATGCTCAGATTACTGAAACTGTCTCTCTGGTGCTGTCAATGCTTATTAGCAGGACACCACATTAAGTAACATCATACAAAATTAGAATCAACTGTTTCACTGAAAGCCAATAAACACCATAGTTGCAAGCTCTGCAATAGAAGTTTGGGTTTAACACACAAGGCAGGGGACAACTTGTCAGAAAAAATTGCATTCTTTCACGAAAGTATATCATACAGTTGTTACATTTCCTTGGACAGGGTAAAAATATTCTTTCGGGCTCAGTGACACATATTAGCTACTTTGCTATGTGAAACAGAGGTTGAAACCAGAAATTTGATCACATGGCAACAGCCCATTAGAAAAGTACCTGTTAGTTTCTACATTAAAACACAGAAAAAATTACTAAGGATTTTGTCCCCCATCTGACCACATTTATCAGTCCTTTAATTTAAAAGGTTTCACCTCTTTTTTTACCTTAGCAAAAGATGCAGCCAGGCTCTTGGAGTTATTTTAAAATAGTGTTAAAAAAACTCATATTATTGTTACCACTTTCATTTACTCTCCTACCTTAGCATCCTTGGGCTTAACCACTTTCATGAAGGCGCCTCTTATCAGGGCTTCCTCTCTCTCCCTCCTGGTTACTTTCCGAGTATCGAGAAACTTCAGGTTTGTCAATTTGTGCAGGACAAAATATCTGTACTGTGGATCAAACACAATTATCCCTATGGACATGTATGTTCTCTCTGTGTATCAGTGAGGTATAAAGCATACTAAGGAACAGAATAACGTGGAAATTGTTTTTTTGGGAAAAGGAATTTTGAGTGATACCAAAGACTCCAGCCCACACAGAGGGAGAAAATCAATCTGAGATATGGGAAATTGCCAGCCAACTTCTCTGCAAGAATTCTTACCATTTGCCAACACTTCTATGGATTTTTTATTTTATTTTCCTAAAATCACAATGATCAGCATTTGGAAGGAGAATTCCAATTTTTATTTTATTTTCCTAAAATCACAATGATCAGCATTTGGAAGGAGAATTCCAATTCGGTCCTGCCAGAGGGACAAGGTGTCCTTATGGCATACAGATCCCAGCTCAGGATTAAGGGCAGAAGCACACAGGGAGAGACTATTTATGGGAAATATAAGAATTCCAAGTTCTTATTAGGATTCATCAGTATTATATTCTATTTATTGTTTCTACTCAAAGGATAGCAGCTTTCTAGCCTCGGAAAAACACTATTGGCTTCTGACCTGTAGAGGGAGAGAACATGGCAGAGTAAAACCAAAGCAAGGCACAAACACAGCAAATTCAATATCTAACCACCTCAAGTGCACATTTAGCCAACAATTTCAAAATGTGAAGCAGAGTGAGGGCAATATCAGGCTTTTCCTGGCAGAGGGTAGAAAGGTGATGATAGTGTTCCCCAGCCAAGCTGCTTTGCATAAACCCCACGTCAGTCAGAGAGCTCCTCATCATATCCATCCTTTCTGGTACTGGGAGGAAGAAATTTAAGAAATAGAAAACTGCATAATGTTTTGGGGAAAAAAAATAAAAACAGAAAAAAATAAAGATTTCAAAAGGTAAAAGTTTATTTTATTATACTGTTGTCTAAACCAGATAAACATGTAAAAATTACTGTAACACTCCCCTTTCTAAACCCAAGCAAAATCTAATGGTGCAAATAAAGCTTTCCATCAAGTATACCATTCCTCTGAAGCAACACTTCCATAAATTGTTAACTGAAGCTACAATACTCAGTTCTGAAATGCTCAGACAATTTAAATGTGAATTCTCAATCTATGGCTCTGAATTATATCAGTAGAAGAAAGAGAGAGAGTCACTTCACAAAACAGAACATCTCCTAAGACCATTTTTTTAAACAGCAGCTACAGACCTATGAGACAGACACATTCTCAGACTCATTCCAGCTTTCCTGGCCGCCCTTCCAGTCCTCTCTGGCATTTTGCTGGGCCTTATCTTTCACTGGAGGAGAAGCTATCCATCTTGCATTACTGGCAGAAAAGCTCTGATGACAACAGATTCTTTCAAATGAAGACATGTACAGAAGGAAACAATATGTCAAGAGTGAAGAAGAGTGAAGCTAAAAATGAGTAAAGACACCCACTAAGTGTAGGGTGAGAAAAGATGAATATTCAGGTGAAGAAAACATCGGTATTAGAAAATCAGCAAATGTTTAATGATGGAATGAAATATGCCATTGAAAAGCAGGCTGCAACAAAAATGACAACAGAATAAGACAGCACTGTCATCTATGCTGACTTTGGATCACAGCCCTAATGTCAGTCTCTCAATCATTTCAAAAGAGCTTAAAATTATAATAGCATTCCTTGATACAAATGTATTTTTGTATTTTTAAGCCATCCTGACTGCATTTCAAAAAACAGAATTAGCACTAGTACTTGTCAATTCCAGAAACAAAACCAAAAACCCCTACCCACACAAATTAAACAGCAAACTATTCCACAAGTCAGTGAGGTTGGTTCTTTTTTTCAAACTTGCACTCCTTAAGCAAAGCAAATACCAAAAAGTAGGCACCATAAATATTATCCCTCTGGTAGAAAGAAGGTATATGTGCAATTCATCATTTTAAAAGTTGATTCAAAATGCAATCTCATTTATTCATATTCTTTTTACTAAATGTGGGATAAAAAGTGTCCATGCTATTTGAAAATAATACAATACATTACATTCATATTAAATGGCTGAAAAAAACCCAGCAATCTTCCTGGATACATTTTAGCTAGAAACATGAAGATGCAGCTTCAATCTAAATGTAACGCAAGTTTGCCATAAAAAATACAGGAAAGGATTACCAAAGCCTGGGAATGAACACTCTACAATATCAATTCAACCCTTGTAAATTTAATCCAGGGTTATTTGTTGCACAAAATCTCTTTACTGTGATGTATGACTTAGTTACTAAGGTTATCACAGCAGTATCCTAAAGTTGCCTAGTACATAAAACATTTCGGTTAACAATGCAGGGAGGTTAACTCCCACAGATAACCTACTATCAGAGGGTTAGACCAGATGACATGCCTCTGTCAGCTTTCAGGAGCTATTGATGGTTCAATCAGTTTGTTTTGAAGGTAAAGTACAACAAAAGGGCACTAAACTTATTCAAACTGTCAACAGGGACTATGGAATGTTGCTTGCAGGTAAGTAATTTTGGGTGTTTTAAGACTATTATCAAACACCAATGGCTGCAGAAAAAGACAGCTACTAATAACAGAACACAGCCATCATAAAATACTTTATGGCAGGCACTGGGACCCATAAATTGCATGACACATTGCACCTGTTTTAGACTTGTAAAATCACTAGTTAAAAGCACACTGGTTAATGAAGAAAGATCCATCTAGATTCTACACTGAGCTTAGAAAGGTTTATCTAGGTTAGAAATTGGGGTGCAGGGTGTCCCTATTCCCCCTCCCCCCTTTTATTTCTTAATAATTTTAAAACTTAGCACTGTTCCATGTGCTCTGAAACTGCTGTAACTGGGTTTTAACACCTTTGCTTTGGTGTGACAGAAGGTTATTATCTTCAGTGATGAGGATAAAAGTGAGATTCAAAGAGAGAAACGTAAAAATTAGACACACCAGGAAGGTGCTTACAGATCCACTCATCATTGCTTGCAAACTGATCATCTAATTCACAATGGATTAAAGAAATTATTTATTTAAGTAGAGTTGCACCTTCTTTTGTTCAGAATCATCTCCCCCACCTTGGCTCTCGGCATGGGTGCCAAGAGTCCCATGAAAACAAGGTCGTAACAGGTATTCATCATATCAACAGGACCACTCAGATATGGGAAAAGACCACAGAATATGAAATTTTATCTTATTTCCATCTTAGTTAAGTAAAAATGAAAATAAAGATTAACAGTTCATTTACCAATTTTGTATGTGCTGCATGCAGTAAGCTCCATTTTAAGACTTTTCACACAGACCTACCAGGGTATTGGAAAAGAGGCACATTTGCAAACTCTTCCACTGAGCCTTTAATGAAAGACTATTGTAAGAACTATATTCTGTATAGTATTCCAGTTGGTACTATAATTAACAAAAACTGGAATATAAAACTGTACTTCATGCATCAATATTTAAGTTTCAAATAAAAAATATACATGCTGTGAAAAATTGTGAAATGTTTGCTTGCAAGTATGCAGGAATATCCAGCTCTACTTGTATCATACCTGCAACTTGCTCTTTGTTTCAGAAAGTGTTCACTTTCATTTTTCTATTTTCTGAGCTATTATATTTCCTTTCCTTAACAATCACAGAGCATAAAAATAATATGCCTATTTCAAACTTTGAATGGCTGATTATGCTCTCAGTTACATTATTGTAAATTAGAAAAAATAAATAACCTGAAGTTGGCTTATTTAAATCAGCATTTTAATGGGGAAAGACAAAAAAAAACGAAATCAGAAGAATTGAACAAATGTATTTATGACAGTGAACTAAATTACGTTCTGTTATTGTTTCTTCTGCACCCCCAAAAAACTTACCCTTCTACCCCCCAAAAGCCTATATATGGCTACATAATTTCCTCTGCAACAAAAACATTTGTTAAATACCCAGATAAGGAGGAGGAGCCATAAACTTAAACCAGCCTCTTCCAGAAGAGAGGGCAGGATGTTGGCATGAGGTAGGTCACAGGGTCACACAGGACCCCCAGCAGCCTTGGCACTGTTTGGTGAGGACCACAGAACATTAAGGATTTCACACAGAAATCCACACCACCTCCAAGTATTTTAACACACTCTGCTCTTCCTTAGTGTAGCAAACAACTCTATGAACTAGAAAAATCTTTCTTTATATGTGTAACAGTAGTTACAGTTTTGCCTTCATTTACTGTGTTAGTACAGACAAGTTGGGTTTTATGGACTTCAATTTAGTTGTCTGAACAAACACATGGTCATTGTTCCTGCTCATGAACCCTTCCAGTGGCAAGTCTCAGATGGACCTTGTGTGGCCATTTGATGTCTTTCAAGCACAAACTTTTCCATGTGCTGGTGAGATGACAAGGCTCCACTCAAACACTGAAGCAGCACAGACTCATAGACTATACAGATGTCAGGGAATACCCTAATCATCTAATTAAGTACATAAAGAACATATTGAAGTAAAGACTTCAATTCTTCCTGCTGAAAGAGAGCCTCAACACTAAGTTCACTGGTACTCATCATGTATATTAGCATTATTTTCATTACTGAGTGAGAACTTCTAGTCTCCTACTGCTTATTGAACATATATATCTATATCACCAACCAAATCAAGACTACTTAAAACAGACAGCCAAATTCTGTAGCATTTTTTTAAAAAAATAAAACAAAACAACAATAAAACAAACAAAAACTGCAAGAATGCTGAAAATGCTCGAAGACCTGTGAGTTCTCACAAACAAAACTGTGCAATGGGAACAGCTGATTTAGCTTGAAAAGTTAATCCATACAAAACACATGCACTTCCCTTCTTGCTGTTACATCTTAAGAGGACTTCATAAGGTTATCATCATTTGCTCCCCCAGCCAAAGATAGCATATCTGGGACATGTACTTTTAAGCTAATTTAAAATAAACTCAGGCATTTGTTTCCACTTGCCCTTGTTTCCATGTCAACAGCATTTAATGAATGCATCATTCCAGGAAATGTCAATAAGGAGCAAAGAAGAATGAACAAGCACTGAAAACTTCACACATGGCATGATTTCTCCACAATCATATCGCTTTAATGAAAATAGGTGAGGTCACCTGCAGCATTCACAAATGCTTTGTAATACATTGTGACCCAGATGATTTTTCACAGTTCACTAACACCACGTTTGAAGTTTTCACTGCAAACAATACACCCACAGGACTGACCAACTGTGAGTACAACAGAAGCAACCAGCAATTACTGTGTTGACTTCTGTTACTTTGATCTCTGGGTCATGACCTTTGCATTCACGAAATCTTCAAAGCAGAGATTGGAGACTAGGTTATTTTAGAGGACACTGTTTTGCAAGCTATTTTTCTGTGTTCCTTGCTTCCTGTTGGAGCCAAAAGCTTCTAAATTTTCTTACCACCATTACTTATTAGATATTCTGCTTTCCCTTGCCCTCACCACCAAGATGTACCTTTACAAAATATTAACACCCCAATACAGAAAGCTTAAAAAATAAGATAAAGAGGATGATTATTTTTTTTAATAGTAAGAAAATAAAGCCATTTTAATAATGATGGGAAAATCTCATGAGTCTTTAAAATGAACCACACAAGTTTGCCTATAAAAATATCACAGAAAGGAACTTCCAATTTTCTTTTTCTGTCCAAGCAAAAATTCCAATAACACAGGAATTTTTTTTCTGTTCATCAATCTGTTCTCCTACACATTTGAAATGTAAGAAGAAATAGCAGGGATGGCAAAAAAAAGCTTTCATTCTTCCCTAAAAATATCCCATTGAAAAGTTACTGTGGTTCTTAGACAAAAAATAACTATTTTGAGAAAAAAAAACACAATAATGTTTCGGTATAAAAATGTACTTTAAATGAAAGACTAGGAAAGAGCTTTAGTAATGAAATGCTAGAAATGGTATACCAATGGGTAACCTGAGGAACCAGATGATAATTTCTTAACCAAAAGCATAGTTTTTTATATTTTCCAAGTATTTTTGATAAAACCTAATTATTTTTAAAGTAAGTAATATTGCTTTTAACCTCTGTTTTTAAGATCAGTGTGAATCACTAGACTTTGAATTTTTTTAAAAAATTATTTTTCATACTTTTATTATGAAGATTTTGGGGGGTTTACAGATCTTTTCAGTTTGTTGGAATGAGAAGATTAAGTAAAGCTTTGATTTCTAGCACTTTTCTCTTTCTGGTTGAGGAATTAAGTAGCCTGAACTCTAATTGAACTCAGTAGGAACAAAATTAAAGTTCAGTGAAAAATGAAGCTGTGGTTCCAATGGTCACTGCAAAAGTTTGCAAAAAAAGAAGTTCCCATTCAGAACCAAAGACAGCCAGCTGAAGTTATGCTGAAGCACAATATTTACATAATTCAAGTTTTTACATAATTCAAGGTCACATAAATGTAATCTTTTGATGCTTTCTGATAAATTAGTCAAAATTATGGAAAGGAATTTTTTAAGGGAAAAAAGTTATTTCAAACCATTAAAAAACGCTGAAACTGGAGGAGAAAAGTTGTGTACAAGATGCTTCACAATGTGGATTCAGAACTCTGAATTAGCTACTCAGAGTAAAATTAGAAGAGTAGTTCTAGCCAGTTCCATCATGTAGGTGATATATATTTTCCTAAAGATAGGCAGATAGATCGATTGATCGATCCATGGTTTTGGGGCTTGACTCTAATGCTGTCTAGCAAATACATTTCATATAATGCAACAAATAATAATGGAAAAGGATCAAGAAGCTTTCATGATAGCAGCATAACCATAAATCATTCAACTAATTAGAAGCCCGTTCTTCTTTCTTAAAAGTGTTTTAATTAACCTAGTTTATATGGAAAAAAAACACCCAGGGTTTTGAAAAATTGAGAGGAAAGAAAATGGAAGCAATGTTGCAGTTTCCAGCAGATATATAAATAGACTCCTTTCACACTTTGACATAGTGGTTTGCCATGATGTGACCTAAAACTACCTTGACCTCTCCTCCGAAATCAACATTTTTGCATTGAAATGAAACAAGGGACAGGCTTGTTTTGATGTATGGCTCTGTGACATATTATAAATATTACATCACATAAGCACAGAGGATGTCAATCAATAAGGAATTTTTTCAGAGAGCACTAAATGAACCACGGGTTCTTGCCTCTGAATGGCTCCTTTAACGTACTACTTTTGCTTAAATGATTAATAGGAGACATATTGTCAGAAAACATACTTAAAGTGAAAAACAGTAAACTGTAGAAATATCATTCATTTTTTAAGCAATTTTCTAGAGCACATGTCACATAAATTTACATAGAGACAGCACTATTATAGTCTTGTAAGCTGGATGGTAGGCATACCTCCCACTTAAGTGTGAAAGCAATGGGAGATGTTTTATTAAACCCAGGCTGCTCTACTCCATGAAAACCAAAATGCTACAAGCTAAGCTGGATTCAAATCATTAAAAGATGACAGTATGACAACCTAGAAATCCTTCTCAAAAATCTGAAACAAACTAAAAAGTATATATGCACATTTGGGACAGCTGTGCTGCTGTTTAACCTACACCATTTCTGAATGCATCAAATCCCAGCCTATAAATTCCCCATAAACCTGTTTTTAGTCTCCTCTACTTTGTATTGTTTTATCCTAACTCCTACAGCACAGTTTGGGTTATCTGAAGATAAGATCAGGGTTTATTCTATAATTCCCAGTACTGTGGGTGATCCTAATAAAAAGCCAGCTCAGGCTCTGCAAGGCAAGGTGACCAGCACTGCCTGGCTCTGCCTTGCCTCCAAATGCCATTTGCAGCCAATGGGAAATGTGCCAGCACACAAGGACTGAAATAATGCATCAGATGGCAGCAAGGAAAAATACATCTAATGCTTTTTTTTTTTTTTTTTTTCCCTGCATAATCAATGTCTCACCTCTCTTAAGGTTACAGCTCTGAAAATTATGTCAGTTAGCAGACATTCCATAAATTGGGAAAAAGTTGTGGATCTATACTCATAATCATCATCAGTCACAAATCTTTCTGTTTTTGTTTTTTTTTTTAATAATCCTTGCAACTTTTAGCAACATTTCAGTTGGACTTATAATATTTTATCAAGCCTCTATATTAAATTTCAGATGACCTCTTGTGTAATCTAGCTGACTGACATTACATTATAAAGATAGTTTGGGGGTTTTTTTATTAGAATGTAACTGCTCTGAGTAAAGCACCAAAATATAAGAGGAGTCATTTATTCTGTGTTAATTGTGCCTTGATAATTACAGTAGAAGCAACTTAGCACCATATCCAACATGAGACTACAAGACAAGGCAACACTGGCTATCTCAGTGGAGTGACTTTTTCTTTCTTTTTTTTTATTGCCTGTCACCCTTAGTGTACCTTGCCTTATCTTGGCCTTAAAGAAGGAAATGCCTTGAGTAGGGGTGTATGAATAGTCACATTCAGGAAATCCTGTGCACACCTGCTCAGCTCAGACATGTGCTATGCAGCACTGAAATGTTTCTTGAAACAGGGTTCCTGAGGGTGATCTCACCGAAATGGGGCTGCTCAAATTCCCAGGTGTTTCATGGCAGAATGTTACAGTGCTTTCAGAACAGAGTAGATGTTTCTTTGAGACTCTGGGTTGATTTTAGTTTAGTATTTTTCCAGCAGTAAAACACAACTTTCATGCCTTATCACATTTACAAGTGAAAACACTAACCTGTATCTCTGGTAGTCATCTTCATCCTTTTCTTTGCAGACCAGTTCATTTGGGCAAGCAATGTTTCCAAGCAAACTGAGATACTGTAGTGAGGGCACAACTTCAGCCAAATGGTCCAAAAGGCTTTCTAATTCTGTTATGTGTCAAAGGTAGTGGGTTAAAGATTCAAAGACATTAATGAAAAAAGCATTTAGAGTTGCATCACTGCTGATTTAAACATACATTTCAATAACTGACAATCAAATTTAGTACGGCACTCAGGAAAATGTCACATTAATTGTTCCAAGGGCAAACAGGGATAAACTTCAGTCAGTTTTTTGGCATGGAATGAAAGAATTGGGCTGTTTTGTCATTCTTTTCTCCTCCTTTTTTTCCTAGGTGGTTCACTACAAAACATTAAAACTTTGACAAAATGATGGATGCTGTGTGGTAAAATGGCTAGCAATTGCTGGAGCCATGAAACTTTTCCAGCATGGAAACAAACAGTTAGTTTCACAGCACATTCATCACTAATATATTCAGTCCACTGGAAAATGAGTTTAAAAAAAAGCAAAAGAAAAAAGTCAAACCACAACAACCCAGGTTCACTCCCAGCATATAAACGCTTTGAGTGTCACAGCAACACATTTGTAACCACTCAATTAGGATATGCCAATTAATGCTTTACTAAGTACAACTTAAAGACTTCAGTGTTACAAATACTTTATATATGAAGCTTTAAAGTCTTGTAAAGCATAAAATTTTTCATTAAAAGAGCCCTATATTTTGAAGTTCATGAGGCTTTTTAACTTAACTGTATTTCTCGGAACATAAATAAGAAATACACACAAACACATACATTATTGTAAACCTGAATGAAACAAACAAGCAAACAAAGGTTAAACTGTCTTTAGCCACTGTAATACTGCAAATCACATTAGGATTAAGCTTATCAACAATTTTCAACCATTTGCACCTCAATTTGTTAATTGATCAAATAATTATTTTGTTACAGCCTAGTATGACAGTCTTTAAAACATGAACCATTCACTCTAATTTACTTCAATTTACATACACATATATTGGTGTGATTCTAAAAAAACATGAAAATTTTCCAGTATTTAAAAATCAGCTGGCTTGGATGAGAGTAATAATTATTCAAAACCATTAAAGGGTATTTCATTGCTTTGTTTTTATTCCCTCCTGCTGTTAGAGACAAACTATTGTTTTAAATCCTCACTTCACTTTTGATGCTATTATTTATACTTGATTTATGTGTTTCTGTTATCTTTGTTATTTTTAGCTGATGGAATTTACTTTATTTCTTCACCCCAATATCTTAAGGGCAACAGAAGCAATAGAGAATGGAGAAAACAGCTTCATTGTTAAAAATGTGGTCTTCCTTTTGTAAGCCTGAAATTTTAGTTTATTCCCAAACACACATGAAGATCATGTTAACAATTACTGATTCAAAAATACTAAAATCAATGCATCTGCACTTAGTGTTCTGTCCCATAAGATCTAAAGAGTTATAATTAAATATTTTGCATGAGTGAGGAAAATGAGGGTTTGAAGTAAGTTTTATGAATTCATTGAAAAGGTAGGAATGCTAACTTTTAATTTGGCAAAGCCACATTAGAGAACGCTTTATACCAGTAATTAATCTACTAAACCCTAAGAAAAAATTATCTTTTTGTAGCACCATATGATTTGTGACCTAGGACGAATTACCAATCAAAACTTGGTGCTCATTTTCATACCTGGAGCTTAAGATCACATATAAACTTTTCATGGCTTTTTCAGGAAGTATGTGACTGTGATGGGAAACTCACAAACTCTTTTTCCACACATGTTCAAGTGTGGAAAAGGCTTTTTAAAAGTTTCCAAAGGCTGTTGGTGAAGTGCTTGGACCTGGCACCCTCCCTCAGCCAGGAGAAACACTTAATTTCTCTCAGGATTGCTTAAGTCGCAAAAAGGCTCCCTGAAAGAAACAGTTTATTGTTACAAAGGACAGTTATTGCCATAACAGCAATCATACACAGGAGGTTAGCTGTTGCAAGGCTTTGATTGTATCTGCTCATTTCCTATCCAAAGGGGGAAAAAACCAACATAAAAATAACGCCTCAACAACAAAAAAAAAATAACAACTCATTCAAAATTTTTGCTTCTTTGATGAAGTAAACATGCAGGACTTTTGCTTCTTAATTCAGCAGAACTGTTTCTTGTGTAGAATCTGCTCTCCCCAGAAGTTTGCTGAATGTGGAGCCTGACATGTATTCTAACTCCCATCTGAAAATGCAGCCTTCAAGGCAAATACCAAAATGTATTTAAAAAATGTAAAGAAGAGCAATGACAGCTTAGATATGCAAATAATGTAAGACTACACCTCAAAATTCTATGGAAAGCAAAAGAGAGAGATACCATAGTCACCAAGAATTTCAGGTCAATAACAGGAGTTTATAATCTGCATTTCAAAAATCTAAATCTCCCAAATTTGGAAGCCAGTGTCTAGATTCTAATGCCTCATATCTAAACCCTGAGCATTTATTTTCAGATGCAAAAACACCCCCTAAAAAGTATCTCATGCAAGAGAATCAGCAGTTATATCATAAATAAAATAAATAATTAATAATAAATAAATAAATTTAAAATTAATAATTATTTTTTCTTTAGGACTTGGGTATCTTTTCTTATCCCTCTTAAAAGCAAAATGCAAGGTACACATTGATTTTTCCAAGAAGCCCCACAGTTATTTTTTACCAATAACACAATAACACAACAGTTATTTTTTACAAAGCATGTAGGAAAAAAATAAATTATATCCTGTTAAAATTCTCATGATTAAGTATTTCTCAGAGATGACTCATAAGTCATGGTGCACTTCTAGTGTAGTGTTTAGTTAATTAACATGTCAAATACTTATTTAAATCACAATACGAGAACTATATGATGCCACCAAAAGCATTGTGTCTTTCCAAAACAATGCTAGGAAAATATGGAGAGAGAAAATCAAAGCAAGTCTGAAATTTTATTGCCAGCTTCCTTTTTATGGTTTATTGTTGCAATCCAAGGAGTTCCATATTGGTTCAATCAGAGCCAAAGAGCTGCAAAATCCTGCTGTGCCACTTCTGAGACCAATTTCAGCTCCATTCTCTCCAAAAGAGAAAACCCACAATTAAATCCATGGACAGTCCTAGTGAAAATGTACTTATTTATTTATTTAGAGCTCTGTAAAAATAGCTCTGAGCTAATCTGTCTAAAGTCAGTGTCACTGATCACCAGGTAAATATGCAACAGTGATGCCAACACTTACACTACAGTCTACTGTTTGAAAAATGGTTTAAAGTATTGCATTGGTGATAATTAAAAAGGCTTAGTGTAGTAATCCATCTCCTAATTCAAGTGCTATCATTACCAATCTATTAATGCCTATCTTTCTAACAGACACAAAACAAAGAAAAAAATTGTAACAATTAAAATTTTAAAATCATCAGCTCTACAGCTTACAAGCTAGAATATTCTCAGGAATTCTACAACAATGGTTCCCTCCAAAAATGTAACTTGGTCTCCAAGAGCAATTAATACAAACACACTGGACATACTTTAAAACTTCATCTGCGCTAAAGGATTATACTTATTCCATGCACTCTTTCTAGTTTTAAATTAGGGAAACATTTAAAAGAACTGGGTATTTCTCACAGATTAACTTTTTTAAGCCACTTCAAACCATTACTACGTGCATACCACACGTGCATATTTAGTCAGTTCAAAGCAGACACACACAAGCATACAGAACCCCATCACCAAATTTTCTGTTCAGAAAGACAAATGCTGCCAGCAGCACTGAGACAGTAGTAATAGAATTATTTGGAAAATTACAGTACTGTGATGGGTCAGTTTAGCTGCAGAGCAACACAATTTCTTGCAAGTTTCATGGAACAAAAAATATCATACAAATAGGCAGGTTCTGACTTGTCTGTTTTCTCTCTCATACTCAATACCGCTGTTTTTGAGGTTCTCTCAAAGGCAGAAATAACAAGCAAAAGCCCAAAGCAAATGATGTATATTCTTTCTCTGGCTAAGAACTAACTGTCTGTGCAAGCTTGTAGCATTTTCATTTGTTTTGCAGAAAATCCTGTAGCCTGGACTGGAATTTTAGTGCCTAGTCAGGACTAGTCATCCCCTTTAATACCATTCAAAGATTTGTTCCCAGGGAATATTACATTTGTGCAAGGACAAAGTTGTAAACTCTGAGTGGATAGTGCCACTTGACTTAGCCAATTTTAGGGGAACCTCAAAAGCAGGGAGAGACATTTTGATGCTAAGCTGTGTCTTTTGACAGCAAGCATAGTAAAAGAAAATCCTGTTACACTTCTAAGGGTTTGAGTGGATTCACACCAAAACTACTGCATGATGTCTCACGAGTTCCTCTATTCCAGACTTCTGTATTCTCAAGAGTCTCTTTATCAGTGTCTTTTCTGCATATCTCCAGGGCAGAGACACTGCATGAATCCTTTTTGGAGACTAATAGAAGGGTCAGCTGCTTTACGTACTGAGCACTAATGCTGGTCACCTCCAAACACCATAGCATTTCTTCCTTCCTTACCAGCATCCGTGGTATAGCCATATTCAGGCTTGATCTCAGGAAAAACTGGGACTTTTTGTCTGCCATAAATTCTTTTTACTAGTTACATACTCAAATACAGAAAAGTAACCACTTGTGTTCTCTCTCTCAGTGCTTTCCAAATGTCTCCACCATTATATTTCAAAAAGTCATTCCACACCCCCAAAAGAGTTGCAGGAAAGCTTTCCATGTTAATGAACTTCATTGACTGCAGCTTTTGGAAGTTCTTGGAAGCAAAGAGACACAGTAAAAAGAAATCAACATGCATTCAAAATATTTCTGAAATATGTACATGAGAATATCAGGAATATCATGCAGATTTCCAGATCATCACATAGAAAGACCCAAAACTGTCATTCAGAAGTTTTCTGCCAACTAATCATCTGTCATGCAGTTGTTGCAATTGACCTAACATTAAAACAGCTGAATAACACTTATGCCAGAGTCATAAATGAGCAAGGTACTTATATTTACTCCCAGCTGAAACATTTGCTTCAATTAAATTTATCACAAACATGATGTAGCAATCACAAGCTG